ACACACACACACACACAGCACCTTCACATACTGTAGACAAACTTATACAGTTTTGCCTTTTACAGCAATCCCCACTATGAGATTTCCAGAGGCAAGGACCACATTTTCTTCAAGAGGAACAAAAAACTAGTTTATTTAGCCTAGAATTAAGTTCTAATTTGCGTATTATACACTCCTACAGCATTTACTGCCTAATAATACTGAGTAAGTGTTTTCTATAGCAGGCGTGCTGTTTACTTGAATCCATCCCAGTTGTTGGTTTCTTCCAAGCAGCTCGCGTTATGAATAAATGATCTGTAATTAGCATTAAATGTTAAGTAGAGCTGTGTCTGGTTGTATTTGTGTGCTCACTTCACATTGCTTGTCACTGTCCTTGCCTTCTGGTGGGAAAAAGTGTGTTAGCCCAGCTGGGAAGACTGTTTACACACTGACAGACATGACTTGTGTCCCTAGAAAGTTCAATCATGTGCTCTCAGCATCAGGCTATATATATATAATGAGATGGAAGTGTATTTTTGAGTGCTAACTTTTCTACTTAAGCTGTCTACTTCATGATGTTATTTGCAGCTTTTATTAGGCATCATATCTCTTTAGAAGACTTGGAACATAGTACACACGTTGTACGGACTACTTGCTTTTTAATGTATATGTACCTGAAAATGTTCTCAATTTGTTTTAACTTTGCTGATTTGTAATATTCAAATATAATTTCATGCTGCAAGAGACCCAATCACGCTCTCATTGGTCAATTGCTGTAGTCTCCGCCCACTTGTCCATCTCATTAATTACAGCTGCTCTGGTGTAGAGGAGGTTTAAAGCTCTTGTGGTAGATCAGCATATGATAGTCTCTGTGACTATCTGTGGATTAATCCATTCCTCTCACTCTCTGAAACGCTTTCTCCATCTGTATTTCCTCCCAGTGGTATGCTAATATAACGTTTTCTCCTTTGATCTCCCATCTCTTCTGTGGGTTTTGTTGTTTTGGGTGTCTTTATTAGTTTGGGCCTCTTTTTTGGGCTCCACAACACCTATGAAAAAAAAATTTTTTTTCTTCTGAGTTGTTTTGTTGCCAGGTTTTGTGAGCAGATTTATTTAAAAAATTTTTTTTTTTAAAGCTGCAAACTGGGACAAAAAGGGAAGGTAATATTTTAGTAGTTTATTTATTTTTAATCATATTTATTAATAATATATATATTTTTTATTTATCTAGCTTTTTTAGTATTTATTTATTAAATTGTTTTGTTTTATTTATTTAGCCTATTTATTTTAGTTTTATGTATTTATTTATTATTAATCGAATATGTTTTAATTACAATTTTAATAAGTTAGTTTTGAGCTATTTTGTTGTTTATATTTTATTTTATTTTATTGTTTATTTTAGTTTTTGTATTTTTGGTTATTTAGTTATTTAATTAGTAGTTCATAAATGTATTTTTAATAGTGTTCACTTTTTTCAGTTAATTGCCTTTTAATTAATTATTAATCAATTTAGTTTTTAGTTTTTTAATTCATTTTTTAGTTGTTTGTTTGTTTTTTATTTATTTATTTGTTGTTTATTTAGTTAGTTATCTAATTAGAACTTTATTTTAGTGCTGGGCAATGATTAATCGCAATTAATCGCATCCAAAATAAGTTTTTGTGTACATAAAATATGTGTGTGTACTGTGTATATTTATTTATATATAAATACACATATAAATAAATACAATATATAAATATATTTATATATAAATACACACACATACAGCATATATTTTGAAAATATTTACATGTATTCAGACCGATGAGCTTTGTAAAAATCGACGCGTTTCAAAAAGGCGGGGCATAGAGGAGAAACAATAATGTACAGTATGTGGAAAATAATGTGTTTTTTTAACTTTAAACCGCATAAACACATTTCATTACACCAAATACACAAAATAATGTTCTTTTTAGCAGCATCATATGACCCCTTTAATAAAAACTACTGTATAACAGTATCTCGATACTAAAATAAAACTGAACCATAAATTAGAATCGTAACTCATTTCCCGCTGTTTATGCTACAGACATGAATCATACTTTACATTCATGCATTTGGCAGGCACTTTTATCCAAAGCGTCTTACACATTTTTAAAAATCAATTTATGCAGGAATATTTCAAATCACGCATATTTTCTTCAAAACGATGCAAAAATGTAGTTAGAACTTAACTTTAACCTGATGCATTGTTTGCTTTTAAACAAATATTTATTACTGTATTTAGATATTATAATTTACTGCAGAAATGACTCGTGTCACTCACATAGAAATATGATATTGCGTTGAAAAACACAAGATGCAAGCAGTGGAATGAAAAAAAACTGCTTAAAAGCGCATGGTTTCAAGACACGTTTTTTAAAAGTTGCCACATTAATATTATGTGTTCAAAAACACGAGACGCAAAACAGTGGAATGACCATTTAAAAGTTGAACTTTTAACTTAACGCACTACGCAACATTCACACACACACACACACACACACACACAGCACCTTCACATACTGTAGACAAACTTATACAGTTTTGCCTTTTACAGCAATCCCCACTATGAGATTTCCAGAGGCAAGGACCACATTTTCTTCAAGAGGAACAAAAAACTAGTTTATTTAGCCTAGAATTAAGTTCTAATTTGCGTATTATACACTCCTACAGCATTTACTGCCTAATAATACTGAGTAAGTGTTTTCTATAGCAGGCGTGCTGTTTACTTGAATCCATCCCAGTTGTTGGTTTCTTCCAAGCAGCTAGCGTTATGAATAAATGATCTGTAATTACATTAAATGTTAAGCAGAGCTGTGTCTGGTTGTATTTGTGTGCTCACTTCACATTGCTTGTCACTGTCCTTGCCTTCTGGTGGGAAAAAGTGTGTTAGCCCAGCTGGGAAGACTGTTTACACACTGACAGACATGACTTGTGTCCCTAGAAAGTTCAATCATGTGCTCTCAGCATCAGGCTATATATATATAATGAGATGGAAGTGTATTTTTGAGTGCTAACTTTTCTACTTAAGCTGTCTACTTCATGATGTTATTTGCAGCTTTTATTAGGCATCATATCTCTTTAGAAGACTTGGAACATAGTACACACGTTGTACGGACTACTTGCTTTTTAATGTATATGTACCTGAAAATGTTCTCAATTTGTTTTAACTTTGCTGATTTGTAATATTCAAATATAATTTCATGCTGCAAGAGACCCAATCACGCTCTCATTGGTCAATTGCTGTAGTCTCCGCCCACTTGTCCATCTCATTAATTACAGCTGCTCTGGTGTAGAGGAGGTTTAAAGCTCTTGTGGTAGATCAGCATATGATAGTCTCTGTGACTATCTGTGGATTAATCCATTCCTCTCACTCTCTGAAACGCTTTCTCCATCTGTATTTCCTCCCAGCGGTATGCTAATATAACGTTTTCTCCTTTGATCTCCCATCTCTTCTGTGGGTTTTGTTGTTTTGGGTGTCTTTATTAGTTTGGGCCTCTTTTTTGGGCTCCACAACACCTATGAAAAAAAAATTTTTTTTCTTCTGAGTTGTTTTGTTGCCAGGTTTTGTGAGCAGATTTATTTAAAAAATTTTTTTTTTTAAAGCTGCAAACTGGGACAAAAAGGGAAGGTAATATTTTAGTAGTTTATTTATTTTTAATCATATTTATTAATAATATATATATTTTTTATTTATCTAGCTTTTTTAGTATTTATTTATTAAATTGTTTTGTTTTATTTATTTAGCCTATTTATTTTAGTTTTATGTATTTATTTATTATTAATCGAATATGTTTTAATTACAATTTTAATAAGTTAGTTTTGAGCTATTTTGTTGTTTATATTTTATTTTATTTTATTGTTTATTTTAGTTTTTGTATTTTTGGTTATTTAGTTATTTAATTAGTAGTTCATAAATGTATTTTTAATAGTGTTCACTTTTTTCAGTTAATTGCCTTTTAATGAATTATTAATCAATTTAGTTTTTAGTTTTTTAATTAATTTTTTAGTTGTTTGTTTGTTTTTTATTTATTTATTTTTTGTTTATTTAGTTAGTTATCTAATTAGAACTTTATTTTAGTGCTGGGCAATGATTAATCGCAATTAATCGCATCCAAAACAATTTTTTGTGTACATAAAATATGTGTGTGTACTGTGTATATTTATTTATATATAAATACACATACATGCATACATGTATTTAAGAAAAATGTTATGTTTATAGATTAAATATATTTATATATAATATAAATTATATGAATATAAATATATACATGTAAATATTTTCAAAATATATACTGTATGTGTGTGTCTTTATATATACATAATAAATATACACAGAACACACACATATATTATATAAACAAAAATTGTGATTAATTGTTGCCCAGCACTACTTTATTTATATTTATTATTATTATTATATATTTTTAAAATTTCAGTTAATCACCTCTTTTTTTGGGGGGGGGTGGGTGCAGTACATTTATTGTTATTTATTATTACTTATTATTATTGCAAATAATTTTGTTGCCCTGTGTTCCTATTTTTTTTTAGTACTCATATTGTAGCTGTGTATGTAATGCAAAAATGAGCAAAATGCATCTCTCTTTGGTTGTATAATGATTTTCTGTGTGCGTGACGTCATTCTCAGCTTAATAGTGGTATTGTGAGCGAGTCCAGAGGATGTATGGCTGTGTGTTTCTCAGTTTGGCAGGTCAGACAGCGTTAGTGTTGGCTGACATGTGCTAGAGCTCACTGTGTTATATATCCTCCAGCAAAACACACACGACTCATAATTCTCCGATCAGCACGCGGTTGCCTGTTTTATCATGTTCAACCTTTATCACATCATCAGACAATTTCCGTCCCACCATCTTGCCGTCTTATCTACATCCCTGATTTCCTCTTCCCTCCTTTAACACGTCAGTTTTCCCTCCCTTTGGGTTTGAGAGATATGACTGTATCGTACACTGCTGTGTGAAGACATCAGGGTTTAACTGTATGTGAATGTCACGTCTTTACTGTCACTGCACGGTTGCTTCATATATTACTGGATCAGTTTTCTCAAACATTTTAGCTATAATGAATAATATTCACTAATGGAAGGAATATTATTATTATTGCTCATTCTTCAGGTTAGTGGTTTGCTCGAACTCTGCTACATGATGCTGCTACAACACGAATGGACATGTTAGTAATTATAATATTTGAAATTTCAAAGATGGAACCTTTTGACTTTTTGGGGGTGGATTCTCTTCGCTTACCTGGCAACAACATAGCAATATTCTAAAAACCCTTTAGCAAATGCTGGCATGTTTTGCATAGGTAATTACTATTTATGATCTATACTTGCATGACAAGATGCACAGCAGATTTTCTTTTCTAAAACAGTTTAGTTTTGGTTGATTAATAAAATCTGATTGTACCTGTAAATGTCTGTAGATAATACTACTATAGTATTTATTAATATATTAAATTGGCTTTTATTTTTATATTTTCAGTTTTATTTTAGTTTTAGCAGTTTTATGTGCTTTTTGTCATTTTTATTAATTTAATATCTCTACTTAGCTTTAAGTTATTTATTTATTTATTTTTAGCACTTCAATTTAAACTTACTTTATTTCAGGTAGTTGCCAAGCCATTTCATTTATTTATTTTATTTTTTGTTTGATAATGTCCACGCAGCACTTTTTTCAGTTAATTGACTCTTTTTTTTTTATAGTACATTTACATAGTCCTGTGATGGTAAAATTATTAATTAATTATTTATTTATTACTACTACTACTATTATTATTAAAAATTATTTTGTTGCTCTATGCTAAAAAAATTGTTTAAAGAAAAAAAAATCGAATATTTAATTTAATGAAATTTTTATTATTTATTAATTATTTATTTATTTATTATTAATATTATTTATTAATTTTATTAAATTTATTAAGAAATTATTGCTTTATTTATTTATTTTTTTTACATTTTATTTCATCTTTATTGCAATTAATGCAAATTATTTGTAATAGTTTCATTTTAGTTAACAATAATAACACATCTCTAGATCCAAGTATACTTCTGCAAAGCGTGAGTTATGAAAAGTGTGTGTATGATAGTAAAGCATGTACTAACAGCTATACAGTAAGCCAGTACACCGAAACTAGGACATACTACTACAACATCATCAAATTATTTTTTTACATTTTATTTAATCTTTATTGCAATTAATGCAAATTATCTGTAATAGTTTCATTTTAGTTAACAATAATAACACATCTCTAAATCCAAGTTTACTTCTGCAAAGCGTGAGTTATGAAAAGTGTGTGTATGATAGTAAAGCATGTACTAACAGCTATACAGTAAGCCAGTACACCGAAACTAGGACATACTACTACAACATCATCAAATTAGTCTTTGATGTCCTCATTTGTAGCACAAGGGGTTGTGAGTAATATTAGCATAAAAAACATTGACTAATACAAAATACAGCGAAAATAACATACCATCCAGTCACTTTAGACACCATATTTTACAATACATTGACTTGGGAAGCTCTAATACTAATCTTTCGAACCGTTTAGTATGTATATATCGAACTGCTTCATCCAACATACCAGATATCCAGCTCTTGACCTTTTGCTTTCCACTTTTTCCTCTCCACAGGTTTGAGAGGGAGAACTAGAAGATAAAGTGCTTGTGATGTTGCGTGGGGATGATGCCGAATATCAGCGCCGCTATCACACTCTGGGCAGCAACACGCGCCGCCTCTCCAACCCCGACATGGAGGCCTATGCTAAGCTCCACAAGAGCGGCGACATGGAGCATCAGAGAAACAAATACCCTCCGCAGCACGCCGCCACGCTGGTCAACACCAACTGTGCACGGCAGCAGGTAACACACCTTTATTGAGCCTTGGTGATCGTATGGGAGGTGCAGGATTGAATCAGGGCCCGTTTTGTACCGATTCCACCCAGCTTAGAACTGATATTCTAAAAATGCTGTTCTGCATTTATGTTCTAACATTATTATGTTTAAATATTGAAAAGACCTTTGATGAGTGTTTTTTTCCGCCTGTCATGGTTTTTGTTCTCTGGTTTTTGTGTTCCTATCTCTGTCTGTCATACTTCCTCCCACCTCTAATGATCTCTTTCATCCTCCTCCTCCTCTTTGCAGTCATTCTTCTCTAGTAGTGGCTCTTGATAAGTCAACCATCACTACTGTTATTGCGCATATTGTGTGTGTATATGTTCACTGGAAAAAAATGGTGTCGAAACAATCTTCACTCAGAAATTGCTAGTAAATTTCACAACTAAGTATAAAAAAGGCAAGTAAAATAGTATTTTCTTGTAGTTTTAAGAATTTTGAAAAATAATTTTTAAAGAGTGTGTGTGTGTGTGTGTGTATGTATGTGTGTGTATATATATATATATTTATTACACGGCTCTGTGGAATACTTGATTCTGATTGGTCAATCACGCCATCCAGCGGTATGTTATTCCCAGATAACAACCGCCAAATTGAATAACACACCGCTCATCCGGGTACTACGAGCTATCTTGACCGGTACTATTTATATGCTTAACGAGTCACTCCGCTATCGTTGACTGTCTGGCGCCATCTTGTGACTGAAAACACTTAACCACCATTTGCTCTTTTCTTTTAGCCATCCCTCTCTCTCTCTCATGATCAATCCCCACTTTCTTGTACTTGCTGTGTGTATTTGCCCGTCTGGCTGCATCCGTCGTCTCCAAACACCACTGGAATGAGAAAGAGAGAGGGGAGTCTACCGTTACCATGGTAACCGAGCTCATGTAGGGAAATCAATGATATCACATAGCTAGCTGGCATATAGGGGACTGAGACCCAGAGAGAGGAAGAGCGCTGAAGGACAGAGACGTTCGCGTTTCACTTCCATAAAGTGACGTACCTGTGCGTGACACGGGAGAAAATGTAGGGCGGGACTTGGATTTGTTCTTCAGGAGCTGATTGGATCTTGCAATGTGAGCATTATGAATCCCAATGTGAGTTTGCAGTGGATTCTGGGGGTTTGTTCTCCTCCTCAAAAACCACACTTTTGAGGATTTTTACCGGGACGTGGAGGCTGAAGGTCAAGTTCATCTCCAGAGCATCTCCACGTATCCCAATGGTAATGGTCTTAAAATCTGCTGTTATTTGGTTTTATTGCTTTTTACATTTCATGTTAACAGGTGTTAAATTACTGTATTAATAGTGACAAGATTTCAGAAAGGCTGCATTACCTACAACAGTAAAATAAAGCTGACTAAATATGAACATTTAACCATCAGATGAACTTGTTTCACAGGCAATTATGGTGAGAGGTTTCTGTTGGAAAACGTGCACTGAATCGTGACGTTCACACTGAGACCAGGAGTGTGTGTTGAAGTAAATGGGGTCCATTGTGATTTCATGTCAGCTGTTAGCTTCAGGATGCAGGGAGTGACGAACTAAGGAAGTTATTACAGTCCATAGATGGAGAAACAGCAGATGAGGAGCGGAGAACTAGAAGGAGAAAGTCGGCCGACAATCGAGCTAATTAATTAGTGACGGTCTCATACCTTCATCAGTCTGTGAGGACATGAGAAATCCACAGTGAACAGGCAGAGAGAGACTGACAGCTTGATGGTATGATTGAGGATGTAATCCGGTGCAAATAGTGTGTGTGTGTGTGTGTGTGTGAACAACATGTATTATGGTGGAACTGAATATATGGATACTTTCAACCTGAAAGCATGACCATTCACATACTGTACCATTTTACTTCTGTATTTTGACATACTTCAGAATGAAAAAGAGTATGCAACAGGATTTTTTGCAAGCAACATCTTTCCATCCATTTTATGATTTGATTTGATTTGATTAACTATAGCAATAGTTTAAAACAGTTCCAATAAGTTCCAAGTTCAATGTAAAGATGTAACCATTTATTTTGTTTGATAACTTATTTAATTGAATTTAATTCAGTAATTAATTTAATAATTGTTGTTATTATTATTTCTAGGCTTTTTTTTGTCACATTTTTCCATTTATTTTGTTTTATAAATAATTTAATTTAATTTAGTAATTTAATTTAATTTAATTTAACAATGGTTGTTGTTATTATTTTTAGGCTTTTTGACATTTTTTCCATCTAGAACAATGTGCACTGATGAATCATTCACAGTAAAATCAGGAATGTGATTTAAAGGAAAGTGGAAAGGGGTTTTGAGAATTTGCATACAATTTTACTTCTGTATTTTAACATACTTTAAAAAGAAACAATATTTAAGATTTTTTTTAAAACAACAGCCATCCATGCATTCTCAATTTTTTTGACTACCTACTGTACAGTTAGTTCATAAACTGATCCTAACAGTTCCAAGATGAATTTAAATATGAAATTCTATTTTATTTGTTACATAAATAATTAAAATACTATTATTAATATTTTGAGGCTTTTTTAAATTCAATCTAGAATAGCGTGCACAGATGAATTATGCACAGATCAGCAATGTTTTACGAAAGTGAATAGGGACAATTTTGATTTCATGTTGAATTTAATGTATGCTAAATTGTAGTGATGTTGTAGATGTCTGCGTCATCATAGCAACAGTGTAGGTGGTTGTATGACATGCAAGTATAGAAGCAGGTGTGGCCTGCCGCAGTGTCTGAGTGTGTGTGTGTGTGTGTGTGTGTGTGTGTGCGTGCGTGTGTGCTCAGACGTGTGAATTAAGTGGCTTTTGTGTTATGCTCTGACGCACACACTTCTGCTGGTCCTAGCGATTAGCTAAATAGTATCTCAAAACATAGTGAGCTACTTACCTACAGTAGACAGCATTTTAGGGCATGTTTGAACATTTAATTAGAACAATTGAACATGTCTGGGCAAAAATATTTTGTAGGCAGTGTTTTGAGATTCACCAATATGAGAACTCAAAGAAGCACTTATGCTGCCTTCTCAGGCAGTATCTGGAGGTATCAAGGGTTGCATGACATCCAATCTATTAAGATATCTACTAAGAAGCAGAGATTTGCCCTTCCTATCACTGCCAATGATATCTTACAATCCTGTGTGTATGATGGTTGATTGAATGGATTGTGGCATTTAAGACAGTAAAAATACTTGCAAATTTTCATGTTCGGCTTATGGTTTTACTTCAATAGATAAATAAGAGTTTGAAAGTAGGGCTGGACGATATGGCCAAAATTTATATTACAATATATTTATTAATTTCGGTCGATACGATATAATTCCAATATCTATATGAACAATATTTTAAAAAGCCTCAGAAAAATTGCCAAGAACACCCACAATGGATGTCTGTACCTACAAACTTCTGAAAAATGGATTTGCCAAGTCTATGAAGCCTCCACCTATAAAACTATATAATATTTTAGAAATAAAAACGGTACAAATACATTAAAGTTCACCTTTTATTTGTATTTAGCCTTCATACGTACAAACAAGAAATGTGAAATCACCGTTAAATAAACATAAGACTCATAGACTCGCCTTATTAATGTGAATATCTTTAACTTTAAACTATAACATAGGATGATTATTCTTATATATTGAAACAAAAGTGCTTCAGCCAGGATAAAGAATATGAAAAGGACTCAGAGGTGCTGCAGAAAGCAGAAAAAAGAGTGAGCAACAACAAAAACATGTTGCTGGAGACAACTTGATTGAAAATGCAATCTCATTCTCTGCCAGCAGGAGGCGCTTTTGGAGTGGCAGAAACGGTGGTTTCCCCGGAAACGGCTGAATGCTACTGTATCAGATAACATGAAAATATCATCGAAACTTCTCTGAAGACAGTCGGTTCCCTTCAAAGATACATTCATATAAAACACCCGTGCTGTGTTTTGATTTTGAAAGGTTTAGTGCTCATGCTTATTCAACGTCAACCGCCACAAATGTATGGGAAACACTGTAGGGTATATTAAAATATCGGAAATGTGTTTAAAAATCATATCACCGTTATTGACAAAAAATTATATTGCGATATATATTGATATTGAATTATTGTCCAGCCCTATTTGAAAGTATTAAATATTTGCTTGGTTATCGCTAAATCGCACATGATTGGTTTCTAGATCAGAAAATTGATGTTGTGGTGCCTTGAAAGCCTGAACCTAACCCTTTATACAAAAATGCTGTGTTAAGCCAATGGCCTTTGGTTTTTGACACAAGAACTTAATTTTGTGTGAAATGCGATTAACAATATGCTTAGAATGCTTTTCTGTTGGCTTAACAGCACCTGTCATTTACCGAATAGAGTTCAAGTATATCCATATTTTTCTGTTCTATCCTGATTTTTTTTTTCCCGTAGGTGAGATAACTTCTGTTCAGATTTTTAGGGGTTGTTATAATTTTTTAATTAAGTCTCTTATACTAACCAAGGCTGCATGTTTTTTTTATGAATATAAACTTCAAAATGTATTTGAAATAGAAGTCTTTTGCAGCATTAAAAATGTCTTTACTGTCACTTTGGATCAATTTAATGCATCCTTGCTCAATAAAAGTATCAATTTCTTTAAGGAAAAAAATATATATATATTGACCCCAAACTTTTGAATGCTAGTATATGTGTTTAAATGGATATAAACCTGCATAACTCGTTCCCTTTTGTCTCTCTCTTATTCTTTTAGCAGCCACATTACTTATCCTGATTTTAGTTTTTTTCCGTAGGTGAGATAACTTCTGTTCAGATTTTTAGGGGTTGTTATAATTTTTTTATTAAGTCTCTTATACTAACCAAGGCTGCATGTTTTTTTTATGAATATAAATTTCAAAATGTATTTGAAATAGAAGTCTTTTGCAGCATTAAAAATGTCTTTACTGTCACTTTGGATCAATTGAATGCATCCTTGCTCAATAAAAGTATCAATTTCTTTAAGGAAAAAAATATATATATATTGACCCCAAACTTTTGAATGCTAGTATATGTGTTTAAATGGATATAAACCTGCATAACTCGTTCCCTTTTGTCTCTCTCTTATTCTTTTAGCAGCCACATTACTGGAGTTTTAAGGTAAGACGTCTCTTCCTCTCCAGATGTTTGTGCATGCATGTTTATCTGTGTTTCTGCATGTCTGTGTGGCTTTAATGGTCCTCTAGGAAAACTTCAGATGCAAAACATCACAATACATCCACACAGTGCAATCAAACTAACAATGCATGACACAAAATGGCACTGAATGAATGAAATGTATGAATACATTAGCTGATAATGGTCTATTGTATGAATGGTGAAACGCTGCTTTTGCACAAAGCCTCACAGGGAGCAACATTTAACATTAAAGTGCGCACAATGCATTCTGAAGGTGCATACTGGGATAATCCAGCGGCAGGAGCATTTATTATGGAAACTATAAGGTGAATAATTTATTTATAGCCTCTGTGCATTTCCTGGAAATCCACCTTCAAGACAAACTCCTACACAAGGTTCCAGTGCAATGACTCACCTCCATTGTAAATGCAGCCTACGACATCGGAGTCATCGAGGGACTTTTGCAGGTCTGAGACGTGAGAGCAACCAGCCTGTATCCCCTAGGGGCGCTCAGGACACCTATCTTTGGCACTGGGACAATGCTGGAACTCCTCCAGAGCTGAGATCCCTTTCACGGCAGGATCAGGGGAGAGGACAGGTGTTGAAGAACCCCACGGAGCATCCTGAGGCTGATTTGGTCAAGCTGTGCGTGGCCTTAATCGTCTTCTTTAACTCCCTGGAGAGCTGAACATGACAAACCTGCGATCTGAATTGTTACTGAGATCCTTTTGAGCAAGAAACTTGCCCTCAGCTTTTCTTCTGGCCTGCTCTGTTCTTGCATGCTGTATAAACCTTCGGATGAAAGGCATCTTTCAGATGGAGAATAAGGTGATCAGAGTTGAAAACCATGAACATTTCCTAGTTTGGTGGTCAAAATATCATTGAAATCTCACTTGTTATCATATGACATAAAATGCAGACAGTACATTTTTGTTTTTTAAATTGTTTTCGGTTCCATAGCCTACCTAATATTATAATAAATAATTTTATGATGTTTACTTACTGGTTTTAATACTAAAAATCACACTATAAAAACTAGTAAATAATAACCAAATAGCAAACAGATCAAAACATATCACAAAATTATGACTTTACAAAAATACATTACAATAATATTTTTGTATTTCATATTTCTGTTTTCACAAACGGTCATTAACACCATAAAAAAAAAAAATTTAATTTTTTTTTTTCAAATGTTACTTTGTTTACTACCCCTAATTATGCTTATTTGCATTTTAGACTTATTTTTTGAGTTCAAAAGTATATGTTTTCTGCAAATGTAGATGTTGCAAGTGTAACCGTTTAGTTGATTATTACTTTTTATTTACTCACTGACTGGACCTTTTGAGAACGTTTAAAATTGTTCGCAAAACAATCCAGCGCCGTGTTCGGCCATATTATATGCTACAAACAAACAGTATTACTTTAATTTAACATGAATAGTTAGTGACTATATCATAACCTTGAAGCTTGAAACCGATAACTGTGTCTTTTGATAATTGATGATAATAGTCCTCTGCTCCATGGGTTGCCAGGTCTGCGTAACCAAACAAGCCCAACTGCCACTCAAAACTAGCCCAAAACTAGCCCAATCCATTTCGAGGGGTGCTCCCCTTTAAAAATCGCGTTCGGGGTGGGGGGGGTGGGGGTGTTAAAATACACGTTTTTGGTGGGGTTCCCCTGGTAAAATTAGCACTCCAGGGGCTAAATATCACGTTATCAGGGTCGCTTTAACCCGCGGACATGAAAAACAACCCGCGGCAACAGTGATAAAGGGAAAATTTACAAATGGTCACGCTCGTTCTTAAAGGGGTCATATGATGCTGCTAAAAAGAACATTATTTTGTGTATTTGGTGTAATGAAATGTGTTTATGCGGTTTAAAGTAAAAAAAACACATTATTTTCCGCATACTGTACATTATTGTTTCTCCTCTATGCCCCGCCTTTTTGAAACGCGTCGATTTTTACAAAGCTCATCGGTCTGAAAAAGCGAGGTGTGCTGTGATTGGCCAGCTATTCAGTGCGTTGTGATTGGCCGAATACCTCAAGCGTGTGACAGAAATGTTACCCCCCTCACCATACTGTGATGATGCCCTGTCCCGGCCCGGAGCGAAGAGACAAAAACATTAAAACCCATTACAAACGAGGCATTTGTTGCATCCAGTGGGGACATAATTACTGATTATAATGACTTATACTGTCTTTTTACGCGTTGCGTTGCGTTGCATTGCATCGCGCGCG